GGTAAATATATTGTGTTAGATAAAGCAAATGCTTTGGAATTAGATTTGTTGAATCTTGTTTTTTTCATCCATAAAATGGAAGAGAGTATTTACCTCACTGGAGAGCCTTCTCCATCTCAGAAGTGACAACACCATTTATTTAATTGGTCAAACCAAAATCTAGAGGTGATTTTTGATGCCTAGTCTTTCTGCTCCATGCATATCTTGATCGCTCATTAGTTCTGTTGACTTTATGTTCAGAGAACATCCTGAAATTCATCAGGTTGCACCAAATCCAGTACTAAAACATTTGGTTAGCGGACTATCATTTCGGGTCTAAGTTTCTGCAATGTTTCTTTCAGTGTTCCTCCTAATTACTCTTATGCTTCCTCTTCCACCCTGAAGTCTATTCTCTGCCCAGAAACAAGTAATTCTGTTAGAAAACAGAAGAAATGATGTTCTTTTGTGCTCTAGAAGGAACATTGGTGTTCCTGAGGTATTAAGAACCACAATGAGCTATTACCTCCCACCTGTTAAGGTTGCCATTGTAAAAAGGATAAGAGGTAGCAGGTATCAGAGAGGATGCAGAGAAAAGAGGACCCTGTAAACGTTGGAGGAATGTAAACTGGTGCAGCCACTATGGAAAATTGTATGGAGTATCCTCAAAAGATTAATAATAGAACTGTCACATGATTCTACAATTCCTGGGGGTATGATCGAAGGAAACAAAACATGAACGTGAAAGATGTTTCATTCTATGTTCATTGAAGCATTATTCTTTACAGCTAAGACAGGGAACAAGTGTCTATTGACAGATGAATGGGCAAAGAAGTTATGGTCTATATAGGGGAATGATATTAAAAATAAAAAAAATCCTGCCATCTTTAACAATATAGATGAACTATGTGGGTATTATGATAAATGAAATAAGCTAGCTGAAGTATCTCACTTACAAATAACAACAAGAAAAAAACTCACCAAAAAGGAAAAGATCAGATTTTTGGTTAGCAGAGATGAGTGTCAGGAGGAGATAGAGTTGGAAAAAATGGTCAAATTGTACAAGCTAACAAGAAAGCTGTTAAAATTCAGTGAAATTGTTACACATAAATGGTAATATAGACAGGCCAAAAACACAACCAGCACTCAACAACTTGTAGCTATTATTTATAATTATTATTCCCTTTGCCTCTGCATTCTCTCACTCAAACTTGAAAACATTTTCTTTATCTTTCCAGCCCACATAAAATCAATGATCAGGTCTCATGGACTCTTCCTTAAAAAAATGTTTCTCATAATTGTCCTCTCCTTTTCATTTCTCATGCCATGTTCCTAATTCACCTCTCTCAGTTCATCTTCTCCCCTCAAACCATTACTGTTGGGCATCCAGATAATTCTGCATGAAGACTCTTTCCTCTTTAAAAATAAGGACCTCCTCAGGGGCTCCCTTGTGGACAGCAATTAAAGCAAAAAATTGTGATGTTCCAAGTTCTTATAATCAATCCTTTCTAATATTTCCATTGTTCCTAGAAAGAGATTCTTTCCTTTTGTGAAATCCATTGAGCCAATGACACCTTCAGACAACATCAAAGTCTACCTTTTTAACATTTTTAAAAAAGATTTATTTATACATACTAGAACGGGGTTCAGGCCAGTAGTATGGAGGGTAGGTGAGAGGATTCACCAGAGACAAAATGGGGAGCACAACAGGCAGATCTACTGAAATACACTGCAGAGGGTACCAATGGGCAAGATAGGAGAGGTCTGCTATGCCATGTGGGTCAGCTCCCTGGCCTGGAATAGAACTCGTGCTGCAGTGGCTGCAAATAGCTTCATGGTGCTGTGTGTTGCACCACCAGGGAGGCCCCAAAGTCTAAAGCGCAGTGGGTTAGGATCCAACAATGCAAGCTAACTGCAGCTGCTTTACTGTATATAAATAAATAAATCTTTTTTTAAAAAAGAAATAAACACTAATCCACCATATGACTCTCGGTATTTGATCTTTTTTGTTATAAAGGGGATGATTTTCTTGATTTCTTGATTTCTTCAGGCTACTGATTTTTGCGTGTTGATTTTGTAGCCTGCTGCTTTACTAAACTGGTTGGTTATTTTGGTAAGTTTTCTGTGGCGTTTTTAAGGTTATAATAAAGAAAACCCAAAATCAACAGACAATTATAAACCAAAGACTGGGGGGGGTGGGGAGGAGCGGAGAAGGATCAAAACAGGTGGGGAAGAGTACAAAGGACTATAGGGACGGCACATGGGTGAATTGGTGGTGGGAAGTCCATGGGGACTACAGCCAAGATAAAAAAGCATACATTGTACAAAAATGAATGATGTAAAAATATATATATATATATATAAATATACACACATATATATATATACCTTTATATATATACCTTTATATATATATATATATATATATAAATATACACACAAACACACACACACACACACACACACACATATATATATAAACTCTCAGGCATGGTACCATTTCTATAGCTCTTATTCTACACCAAAATATAACTCTATAGGGGAATAATTAATAACACAGGTAACAAGTTCAGAGAGTTGGAGAAGATAAAACTAAAGTACTTGAATATAATTATAATAATTTTAATGCATTCAATAGAGGGTAACAATTTTTACTATCATTATGTGCATTTCTTGTTTCCCTACCAAAATGCTCCTAAAGGACAATGACTTACTGGTATTGGTGGTAATCTTCCAGTGTTTTACCTGGAAAAGTTTTATTATATCCTCAGTATTATTTGCTCATAAATTGACTTTTTATAAGCTGTGGGTTAATTTCTCATGCCTTGAGATGTGAACATTTCATCATTGTAAGGGATACAATAATTTACTGTGATTGATATGAGATTTGAGGGTATACTTTTGTGCTCAACTTTTACTGGTGTTGATTAAAAATAGTCACAAGTCAGAGTATAATGTGAATAAAGAATTTGTTATTAGGTAATATAACATCAAAATTATAATTGCATATGCCTTCTTAAAATTAAGTATCAAATAATTTGTTAAGAACTGCTTTGAAATACTTCCATAAGTGCCCCTTAGCTTGGCAAACTTGTTTTTCATAATGACTGGGAAGGAAGCTTGACTGATGAAAAGAGTAACATTTTATTAGAGGATCTAAAAGTACCTGACAAGGCTACCATCCATTTTGCAGGTTAGGTACATTGAGGCTGAGTGGCTTAATGCATTTCCTTTAGCTATGCTGTCACCCTGGAGGAAGATCAGCTGCATAGTAGAGTATTCAAGATCCAAAAGATTCTGTGTTTCTTAAGTGATTTGTCTACTCTTATGTTTACTGGAACTGTGTGCCCAATCAGCTTTCCCCTCTCACCTAATGAAAAGAGTGAAGATAAATTTATGGGATACCTGGAGTCATGTTCTTGGGCTTTAGCTGAGTTTTTTGTTAGTTTTTTTTCCATGCTACTATTTATTCTTTTCTTTCTTTCATGTCCATTTTTAACTTGAGTATGACTGTTCAAATATGTATTATTTAAGCACTTTAAATCTCTTTTCAAGCAAGGTGGGTAATACATCTATAACTAATGTATACACTTCACACATGTTCATCAGACTAAGAACGTCCGTATTGTTGAAACACTAGCCTTTTGGAGAAAACCACATGTGGATCTGAATTCTGTCTCTTACACTTAATGACTGTGAGATCTTGGTCAAGTTATTTAACCTTTCTGAGTTCTCGCTCTCTAAAATGGAAACACTAATCCATAATTTGTAGAGATGTCTTGCAGAATAAGTAAAATAACTCATGTAAATTACTTGGTGCATAGTAGGCATTCAATAAATGTCAGTTCACTTCTTATCCGGGTTAATAATGGTTATTAGACTATATTAAAAACTAGAACCAGACTGTGATAATGCATTTCTTTATTAAGTATTTAAGCCCAATAACTAATTTCCCTCAGGGGGGGAGGATGAGATATGTTGAATTAGTTTCATTTGGTGAACTTTTTTATTAGTCTTTTTTTTCTTCACCATTATTTAGTTCCATAGTCCATAATTTAGTTTTCCTGCAACAAAAAGTCACAGTCTGGTATTCCTTTGAACTCTACTGTGATGTAAAAAAAAAAAAAAAAAAAAATCCCAGATTTGCCATTTATTAGAGATCATTATTAATTATATTAACAGCTCGATTGTGTTTCATAACTACTTCATGCTGACAAACTTTTCTCTCAACAGTTCCCCTGAGGTCTAAGGATTGCAAAGGCTCAAGTTTTAAATGGCAATGTTACAGCAAAAGAGAAACAAGGGTGGGGGTGGGGGTGGGAGAGCCACAGCGTCTGTGTTCTTTCGAGCGAATTTTATAGGGTTGTATTTAAGTGCAGTCACGTTTCCCTCAAGGGCAGAACCCAAGTGAGACAGGCAGGGAAAGTGGGACTAGACCACCGAGCTGGAACTACGTGTGCCTTTGTACCTTTAAGGACTGGAGACTTGGCAGTAGCTCGGCCTCCTTTCCGGCCCACCTCTGAACTCTGATTGACAGGGCGCCGGGCAGGGCGGAGCTCAAGGAGGCCGAGGGGGCGGTGCCTGGAGCCAAGCGGTGGGGGCGGGGCCTCTCGTTCCTATACAACCAATAGGGAGAGGAGGGCGGGGCTTACGTGCCCAACTCCCTCCTCTTCTCCCCCGCCTCCTGCCTCCCTGCCCCCTCCCTCCTCGCCACTGCCCCCTCCCCGCTCCTCCTTGGCGTCCTCCTCCTCCTTCTTCTCCTCCTCCTCCTCCTCTCAGGCTGTGGTTTTTCTGTATGTGTTTCTGGAGTCCTGAGCCTGAGCTAAACAAAAGCAGGAGGCTGACGGGGCTGCTGGAGTTTGCAGAGACACGGAGGAGCAGAGCGCCGGTGCTCTGCCTGCCGCCGCGGCCGGGGGAGATCTGGCTTTTGCAACAGCCCACCCCCTTTGAGATCGCGCTGGCCCGGAGTGGGGGTGGGGGGCAGCGGGGGGCGGGGGGGAAAGTTTGCCTTGCAATCCCCCTGCCTTCCTCTCCTTTCTCCCGATCAATGCATATTTGCAAAAGGATTAAGCCACCGATTTAAGCGCCGGGAGCCCATTTCTGCCTTGCAAAGGAGACCGGACTGAAAAACCCAAAGCCAGCTCTGATTTCTTTTCGTCCAGTGGGAAGGTGGTTTATTTATTTATTTATTTATTTTTTTTGCTTTTTGGAGTCAACACCCTTCCCTACCAGCCCTTCTCCCCACCCTCACCCCGCAACCCCCTCACGCCCCCCCCCCCCCCCCCCTCCCCATCCTCCCACCATCCTCTAAAGAGGCAACGGGATTTTTTTTTTCTCTCTTTTGGTCTTCTTTCCACCCCCCCTTCCCTGTTTATCCTGCAAAGGATTTGAAGACTGCTTGAAGGATCAAAAGCCTCGGTGCTTCCCAGGAGCCGAGCCGAGGAGCAGTCGAGGAAGAGCCGGGGGCTCCGTCGCCTTTGGAGATGGACGAGCAGCCCAGGCTGATGCATTCCCACGCTGGGGTCGGGATGGCCGGACACCCCGGCCTGTCCCAGCACTTGCAGGATGGGGCCGGAGGGACCGAGGGGGAGGGCGGGAGGAAGCAGGACATTGGAGACATTTTACAGCAAATTATGACCATCACAGACCAGAGTTTGGATGAGGCGCAGGCCAGGTGAGATGGAGGCTTTTCTTTTCCTTTCTTGGGGTTTTTTTGTTTTTCTCCCTCTCGCTGGGGGAAACAATGGGAACCGAATCACCACCGCGCTTTCTTTTTAAATGTTATTTCTTTTCCCATTTTGACAAGCAACTGTATGGCGGAGGAGTAAAATTGGAAGAAGCGTTGTTATTGAAAGTGTAATCGCCCATGCCGTGATGTGGCTGTGTACATATTGTGTGTGAGTGAGTGTGTGTGTGTGTGTGTGTATGGAGGTATTTATATTTATCCACTCTTAACACTCAGGCACGCCGAAATTTCTGCCAACTGATCCTGAAGCGGCCCTCGGCACTTTTTACTGCCTTACAAAGTAACAGAGAGAGCAGAATTGTCAAGTTTTGAACAGCATTCCATGCTTGTTGAGGGACTTCGTAACATTACTAAATAAAATGTCCCAAACACTTTATTTGCAATTTCAGTTGACTCTTTACCTAATTCAGAGACTTTTGGTTTTCTTTCTTAATAGAGCACTGCAAAATGAATTTTTATCTCTCCCCCTTCTTCCCCCCTCTTTTAGAAAAAAAAAAAAGCAGGGTAATTCTTTGTCAGTGTTGTCAGCTTTCCAGAAAATATTTCGCATTCATTTAATTCTGTCTCACAAAGAGCTAATGGATAAAAAAAAAAACAAAAAACAATTTTTGCTTTTAGGGGTATTTGTTAGTATTAAGGGACTCATATTTAGTTTAACTTTATTGTCTCCTAATTTGAGTTCGTTTACTTAACCTTCTGTAGTAGAAATTGTATGGTACTTTAAAGGAGTGGGGAGACAAAAATCAAACATGCTTGCCCCCCTTCCCCCATGCCTTTTCAGGACCACTTAGAACACAGCTAAATAGGAATGAAGGCATGTGTGAATTTTATATATTTCAGTACTACTGGACATGAAGGTCTTCATTAAAGCAACATAATAAAGAAGCTATGTAGCTTCTAAACTTAATACGCTGCCAGATATTTAGCTCTCCACTTTGGGATTTTACAGTGATTTTCTTTCAAAATAAAACATAGCTTAAATGGCAACCCTCTAACAGCTTGCTTAAGGCCCATCTCAAAAGGAAGAATTTTAAAAATCTAATGACCATATAAAGCTATACAATTACCCAGCTTTGTTAAATATCAGAGATAGTTGTTTGTAAACATATATACACATTTCCTATACCTCTGATTACTTAGTTATATGGAGACACATCTCTATATGTATTTTTGTGTAAGGGTAATTTGAGTTGAGAAAATGAGAAGCAGCAGTTAAAAGCATGGATGTTAAGAATTACACTCTTATTTCCGCTGAAAGCACATGCAACATGTAAACTCAAAAGTACTGGGGTTTACGGCTGCTTGAAAACTAGGAAATGTTCAGAAACTGGAACTATTCTAATTTTTTTTTTAAATAGGGGAAAGTTTACAAAAATTAATCGGTTGAGTTTTTGTATTATCTGAAGAAAACCAATGGGTATTGTTAATTGGAAGATTTCCACTGGCAATTTCTTTTTGAACTGGAATAGATTTCTCTATTACATTGTTCCAGAAAAATAAACTCAGATATACCAAAAAACTGTCTTAATCACAAGTTTGTGAAGTGGAAGGGACCGGTAAGAATGGAGACTCACCACTTCTCCGATGTTAAGTCCCACTCCTTTTTGTACAACTGAGGGCATTTGTGGCTTGGCGGGTTCTCCCTTTTAATGGCCTAGATGCTGGGTGAGATCAGACACGGTTTTGGGAAAGGGATATTTTCTGTTCCCTTTAACCCCATTCATGTACCATGGACCTGCATTATTTCTATAAAGCAGTGCAGTGTTTTTTGGTATTGTTTTGTTTTGCATTTGGGCCTATATATAAGGATACAATTAATGAAAACTATTTTAAGACTCCCCAAAAGAGGTCGTTGATACATTGAAGTCTCTTCCTTTTTTTTTTTTTTTTTTAACCTCACCCCACAGGAGAACTAAATCACCAGTAAGCTTTTTGGTTAAACAATGTAACTATTGAGTAAATTCTCTGTTTTTCCTTTCCCTAGTCACACTTTCATAAGGTGCATTTATTATTTACAAAGTAAACCATTAGCATTTTAGATGCATGTGTATATTTTCATTTACTTGGATTTTGAACTTATTACTTCACTGCTGTACAGTATATAGAATCTGCTTCTGGTTTCTGTTCTTCATGAGGATGTATATGTACCTGTTATTATTATTTTTTAAAAACTTTCAAAGGGGTTGAAAAGAAATTGCATATATCTTGAATGCCAGGGGCTCCATTTATCTTTACACATTAATTTTAGTTAGTAAACAGAATTCTCTTAACTAATAGCTGATACGATCAGTATTTTGTTTCCAAAACAATATCCCTCTGCTAAGTGCTTCCCTAGTAAAATAAAGGGAAAGGTATTGTTTTGTTCAAGTATATTCTGAAGACAGACATACACAAGGATCAGGTAAATCACTAATCTAAAAGGCAGAATCATATTTATTTTTTCCCCAATGGGTGCAAGGTCCTAATTGTAAATAATTGAATTTCAACACCTGCAAATAAGCGGTGTGTGCACAAGAGGCATAATGTGAACACAGAGAAATGAATTTATTCCCCATATGGGTATGTTTGCCCCCTGGCAATGCATTTCCATACTCTTTAACTTGGGGACTGAAATTTTATAAATTGACAGTTCTACTCAGAAGACCTTTCAAGCATCTTGTGTTTATGAGAATACAGGGGCATCTGCGGAATGAATTCGAACACATGGATGAATTAAATTTGAAAACACACACAGACCGAGAAGCAGACAGCTCCTAGGCTGTGGTGGTTGCATAGATTATACAAAACTGTTAACCCATGCATTTGGCTTTGCCATCTTCATAGCCCTCGATCAGATTATTGTGTAAGAATTCCACTTTGATTAAAGTACTTAAAAAAAAAAAACACTCTGCCTCAATGGGCATAAAATAGGTTAGCTCTGTAGTTAAAACCCTACTCTCTGCTAATTAACAGTATTCTTCTATGGTGGGATTCTGTGTATTAAGTCATAAAACAATTAAAGCATGCCACAGAGTTGTGCTTGCTATATAATTTTGGCAAAATGTTCACATTTTTCCCCTTGTGCATTATCAGCAGTTTGATCTCGAAAGTCCACCTAAGCTATTATGTTGTTTCTTTCTTGCAGAAAACATGCTTTAAACTGCCACAGAATGAAGCCTGCCTTGTTTAATGTGTTGTGTGAAATCAAAGAAAAAACAGGTAGGAATGAGATTGCAACATTTAAGCATTTTCTTTGGTCAGTCGACTCACTTAACCAGCAATCACAAACCCATTATTTAAATATTAAAATGTTAGACTAAAAGTGCTCTTAAGATTGATAGAATATTTCAGTAGGAAATCCTGGCAGTCCTGGTTCCTGAAAAAGAGAGCTCCCAGTTTCTTTGACAGTTATTGTCAAGTGTTACTGGTTTATTTTCCTTTACTCTCGACTTCTTTGAAACTGAGGCAACACTCTAGGTTTTGAAGGGAAATTTATAGAATGGTGTGCCTTTGGAGCAAAAATATGAAAGTAAAAGTCCATTTCCTAAAGGAAGATATTTTGGCCCATGTTTAAAATTCTTGTTTTTGTATTTTTTTGGGAGTTGGATATGGAGTCTAAACTCTTTAAAGTTTTATTTTCCTTTTTCCTTCTTATAATTACATGAAACAGCAGACTAGAGGTTTCCAGCACAGTGTTGTCAAATATCTTTGTGAAAGAACTCAACAACCTCAACTTATCTGTGTTTGAATGCCCTGTTATTTTACAGCAGGGAGAATTGTTTGGTTTAGGAGAATGTAATGCTAGGAGAGCATTCATGCTGTTGTTTTTCTACTTTCTAGAACCCCATATCATGGACTAACACACTTATAACACATCCCAGGAGGGCATTTAAATTTTAAAGCAACAATTAAAAAATAGCAGTCATCAATCAGAGGTGTTCTTAAACAACAGATGCTTTGGGAAGGACATTTAGCAACATCTTGTTTGTTTATTTTAATCCTTAATTTCCCATAGTGGGTGAATCCCCCCCTTTTATAAAGAAGTGTTGAGAAGGCAGTCTGAACTAGGACTTAAAAGATGAGGATCGAAGGAGGGTGGTTATATAAAGCGGGAGCTTCTGCTGGCTTCTGACTTGCTGGCAGGCTTCAGAGCCGTGCAAAGTACCTGACACCCGATTTATTTATTTATTTTTTACAACAAGGAGTGTAACAGTCAATAATTCATATCTAAACCATATAAGCAAGGGCATGACATGAATGAAAGTGACAATAAATATGATTGCATGCCGGGTTGATATACTTTGATAGTTACACATAAAAAAGGTGGGGGGGGGAGGCGTGGGGAAGGACACACAGGGGGGCTTTTTTTTTTTTTGAGAGTTCTCTGTGTTTCTCTTAAAAAAAAAAATAGTTTCAAGATGTGACCATTGATTGAATATGTAATTACTTAGCTCTTGAAATGTTTGTAAAATTAGTAAGCAGCTCCTTTGTTGAATGTTCTGTGTTGTGCATCGTCCTAGACAAAGCACCTGAGTCCTGATGTTCAGACCCTCCAGTCCTCCAGGTTGCCTGACCAATGCAAAGCTGTTAATTGCATTGTTTTGGCTGCAAAACACCTTTTGAGAGATTTATAGGTTGTGCATACAAATATCTAAAAGTGTTTCAGTTTGTCACACTTTTTAGTTTTTTTTTTTTTCATATTAGCCCAGAACAGGAAGCGTAAGTGTATAATACACACACACACCTCTATATTTTTCCTTTTCTCCTTTCTTGCTTTTTTACTTAATCTCTTTCTAAATCACTTATTTGTTTTGAATATTTGGTTTGTCAAAATTTATTTTGATTTGAGTATGCATTCCTGCTGATCTCGATTTGTAAAATTTAAATCAAGTTTTAAAGGCATAGTTGATAATCCAGGCTAAAGAGATTGTAATTTTGAAGACACAATCAGATTTGTATTGAAAGGAAGGCAATAGGAACACTTAAATGTGTGTTGTGACCAAAGTGTTTAATTTTAGTCTTCTAATTAAAACCTACTGGGGCAGTAGATCAAAGTGGGTGGGTGTGAGTGGAGATCTGGTTCCCGTGTGGGTCCAAGAGTTTGCTCCTTATTCATATTGGCTACACTATGGTGATAGGATACAGCTGTGTTGGTGACACTAACACTCCAGTGGTATAAATTCTTGTTGGATTTATGTTTTTTGTTTTTTAAAATTTGTCTGTTGTTTAATGTCATTAACGTTTGGAGCTTTAAAAAAAATCTAAAATAAGGTTTTGTGTGTTTCTAGAAGAATGAGTTTAGCAAATAGTTTATTGAGTACTGTCAATGAAAAATGATAAGAATCACTGCCCTTGTGTTAAAGGGAAATAAATACATACATAAGGAGTTTGGGCTTGGGAGAACACCTCAGGTTGAAAAAAAAAAAGAGCACCAAGAGAAAAACAAGCCTACTTCTCTCTCATTCTTCAACTTGTGTGTTGGAAGGATTAAGGGGAAGAGAGAAACTTCTCCTGGAATGTCGAATGTTCTATGTTAAAGGTAGGAGAGGACTGTAGTGTGCTGAAAGGAACTCTTTGATTCTAAGTCACGATTACTTTGTTATTCAGGATCTGCTAACCCTCCCCTGGCTGCCAGCAGAGCTTTCAGGGGTGGATGGGTGGCAGAGTGTAAAGTTGTAGAAGCTTTTTTCCCTCCTTGATACAGAGCTAGTGAAAAGATCCCCCTGGATTCATCCGCAGCATTCTTCATTGTTTTGGACTTTTCCTGTTGTTACTTTCAAGCCCCCTTATACTGAATGAATATTTTTAAGCTTCCTCCATCTCAAGCCTCACAGAAGTAACCTGACTGAGGGTTGACTTTGCAGGTCTCTTGTCTTCTAACACCAAGTTCACAGGTTTGGCTCACCTGGATCCTTTATCAGAAACACTGACGCTCTGAGCAGCCTGGGAAATGCACTCTCTTATTGCTTTGGCTTTGGCTTTTTGGTCATGATTTTCTTTGGAAAAGTCAGACATAAGTAGGGAAACTATCTTGGAACTTTAAGGAAATAGGCGCGTAGCACCCAAAATACGCAGCACCGACTACATTACAGTTGATTGATGGGTGTTTAAGTAAAAAATTACTGAGGGAATATTAAAAAGAGAAGAACTGTGTGCCTTCTTTTTGCAAAGTGTGAGTATGTTTTTACTTTCATAGCTTTTTGCCTTTTTAATAAAAACTAAGAAAAAAGAATGTTTAGAAAAAATGCAATGGCGGCAGATCTCAAACAACAGCAAGAAAAAAGCCCTGTCAAAGACTTAAAGCCATGCATGTTTCAGAAGTGGCTTTTATCGGCTTGTTCCTCCTGGGAACATAGAGATTTAATACAGAGTTTAGATCACTTAATAACTTATTTTCTTTTGCTTTTTAAGGACCATCCTGTGGTCTTCTGAGATATTAGCAGTAGGATGAGATTTACCTATGTATATACGTGGTGGTGGTGGAGTTGTTGGGATGGAAAAGAAGGAGAAAAAAGGTCAAATATATTGCACTTCTTAAAAAGCCCTTGAATATACTTTAAATATGTTTCTTGAGTTTAAAAAATTTCTTCATCAAAAATCGTGCACGTTTAAAAATTATAATTGGAAAATATAAAAAAAATGGGTGCCATTTACAGAGAAGAATATTTATAGATAGCAATGAATACCTCTAATTGTTGTGAATAGTTTTTAATTTTAGAATATAATAGCTATATGTGGCACTTTTCAGTCAATTTTTTTCTGCACATTATCTGAAGTTAAATCAAATCACTGAAGGAGGTTAAAAAATAATTTTTTGCTTCCTTAACACCCTTTTGTTCTCTCTCTTCTTTTTTCTCTGTGTTCAATTAACACCCCCATCACAGAACTGTAGTTTTTTTAAAGTCTACTACTGTATTTCATATCTGACACCCTCCCTTATTATTCTCGCCTGCCACTTCTTTTTTAATAGAGCAATTACATTATGGGGCTTCTACTCTCCTCTTTGTAGCATTAGAGCTTAATTTGTGTGTGTGCAGGTACACACACAAGTGTATGTGTGTGCGTGTGCACATGTGTATTTATATGTAGGTAGAATGGACACTGTAGAAAAAAGCAGGTAAATAATTCTGATAGTATTAGGCCATAAGCAGAGAGCAGAAGTAAAGTAACCAGACCATTTAGAGCTGCCTCTGATCAGATTCCTGTTGGGGCTGAAGTGGCTGGAGTGACTTTTCTTCGGAGTTCACATCGAACAGGCAAAGGCAGAAACTTTTTCTTGCTGTTGAGGCAATTCCAGTATTGGCTGTTTTTATTTGTTTTGAGTGTGTGGAAAGGGCTGAGAGAGGAAAGGGAACATGTGGAGGGAAGTTACAAGCCTGTTTTACTTGCATGCTGCCTTTCAGGCACAGCAGTGTGCTGGCAGGAGGAATGTAATTAGCCTGTATATTCCGTCTTATCATCTGGATCTCAGTTATGACTGTACATACTACAACTCGGTGAGAGGATGGGTATCTCTTGAGCCGCGTCCCTTCTCTGCATTTCCATGTGTGTGATTCTGGAAATGTGTGGGAATTCTGGCATTTGAGTGGTGAGGCATAGGGTACCGCGAGCCCTTTGCTCATCCCTACCAGAAAGGCACTTTTGGAAATTAGGGGTCATTATAGACACCCGTCTAATCAGAAGGGTGTCTTTTAGGATTGGAAATGATAGCTGTGGGTTCAACCGAGGCTACTAGGAGAGGATATGTGAGAGGGGAAACGAAGAAAGAAACTGTGACCTGGGAACTATGGGGTGCTGGGAGCTAAGAGCACGGAGGTGTGGGCCCCAGTTGGGTGGCGACTGCACCCCAACCCAAGAGGCCACAGACAACCTGTGGATATATCTCACTGCCCACACCAGGTCCTGCCACATGCGCTTCCACTGTGTTCTGCTGACACACGTGAACTTTTGGTGGCGGTTGTTGGCAAAATTACAGAAACACCCTCAAACAAGAGGATAATCTCAACTCTAGATACTGAACGGAGTTAAAAAGGAAAGCTTTTAAATTTTAATTCAAAGCATATCCTCCCTGCCTTCTTTTAAGACATGGTTTACTTATAAGCCTTAGAAAAATATGTTCTTAATTTTGATCTCAAACCTCTGCTAGTTGAATGCTGTTATGTTTTGAACAAGGAGTGAATATAAATATACATTTATTCCTTTTACTTTTTAAATAAGAA